AACACGATCACGATAATATCTAACGTCCAATTTATATTATAATAAACATGTAACACAATAATTTGTAACTCTTAACACGATACTATCTAACGTCAATTTATAACATAACTAAAACTAATATGTAATATAATAATTTCTAACTCGTAACACGATAATATCTAAACGTCCAATTTATATTATAATCAACATGTAACATAATAATTTGTAACTTCTAACACGATAAACGTCCAATTTATAGCATAATCAAGTCTAAAATGTAACATAATAATTTATAACATAATAATATAGTCCAATTTATAACATAACTATTTCGAATAAATAACATAATAATTTTTAAAAAAAAAAAATTACGGCCGGCCGGCCGAACCGGACGGACCGGTTCCGACCGGCCGTCGTTTTCGGATGGCTTTTTAGCCGTCCGGCCGGCCGGCCGGTTCGGACATGGCCGGTCCGACCGGCCGTATTTTCCGGACAGCTTTTAGCTCGTCCGGACCGGCCGGCCGGACGGCTTAAAAACCGTCTGGTTCCGGCGGCCGGACGGGCTAAAAGCCGTCCGGAACCGGCGGCCGAACACCTATTTTTTCGTACCTCCGAATTTGACGACATTTCACCGTACACTTTCCTCTGAGATGTTTAGAAAAAATGAGAAGGGCAAAATTGTCCAAGGGAGGCGGTGACTAGTAAAATGGGGGCGGTGAATAGTAACGCCCGACTGCTTTTCTAGGGTCGGAGTTTTCTGGACTTACCATAAGATAGTCTATCTTGGGATATAGTAGATAGTACGAGATAGCTGCTTTAAAACCTTCATTTGTTGTCAAATTGTATGTGAATTAGGACTTGGGAAAATGTAATTGAAACTTTCAAAAACTTAGAGTGCTTGTTTATAAGTTTATCCAAAACAAATTCAATCATAACTCAAATCTAACTCAAATTTAATTCAATTTCATTATACTCAACAATATTAATATAATTAAAAAATATAAATTAATCAACCATACACATCACATCAACCTTAATTCACTATTCATCCATTTTTATAATTTTAATAACCAATCACTTCCAATCATATCTCTTCCTACTTTTATATTAAATCAACAATAATTATTTAATTTTAATATTATTTTAATACAAATGTAAAATCCCACTCAAACTTAACTCAATCAACTTTTTCAAAACTAACTATGGTTAACCAAAAAAACCAATCAAAACTAAAAAAAAAAAAATTATAAACAAGCATGCCTAGAATTTTGGGTATTCAATTGCAAGTGTATGACTTTTTAAAAAATCTACATGCATTCAATTGAGATGTTAAAAAATCTTTTATAAATTTCTAAAATTCTCTAAGGTATTCAACTAAATTTTTTTATGAGTCTATAAATCACCTAATATTCAAATTCTGAAAATTTAGTAAGACTTTTGGAGACTTTTTTTTAATAAAATTGCAAACACCAAGTCCTAGTAAAAAATCTTATCAAATTGATGTGTTGGACTTACGTGACTATCTTAAAATCATCTTTTCTCTATAGAGTACATGATTGGTTGAAACATGTGTACGTTTTATGTATTCAACAGTGTATTTTTATACACTTAATTTATTCGCAAGTTTATGTTTTTTGACTTATTTATTATTTAGATGGATTCATTTGATTTGATTATTTTATATTTATTTTCAGCGCATCGGAGTAATTTAATGACGCGAAGCATTTGATGAAAGTTCATGCGATCAATCATCAGAGTTAGTCCAAGAATAGATGAATTAGCCCACTTTCATTTAATGGGCTGGTCATGCTTTTTTATATTATTTTATTTTAATAGGGAAAAAAAAAGGAAATCAAAATTAGGGTTGGGGAATAAAAACAATCTACAGGATGAGGATTTTGTTTTTGGGTTTTACAGGAAGGGGGTGATTTATTTCCTTTTGGGTCATCTTACCTCTTTGGTTTTAAAAAATTTCCAACGATCTTTTTCTTTGGCTTGGGCCGTGAGCAGCAGGCCACCAGGGCACTCACACATTCTTTTGGAGCCTGGGAATTTTCTCAGTATTTAGAGGGATCAGCGGTGAGACCAAATAACACACATTGGAGGAGGATTATCATTTCTCCGTGCACAAGGATAAGCTACTTGTACTTCATAAGGTAAATCCAATTACCTCTAGTTTAAGCATCAACAATAGTAAGCATGTAAGGAGTATTAGTCACTGAAACTTCTTGACATGGTCCTCAAATACCAACGTGCACATGATCAAACTTATTTACTGCCTTAGTACTGCTATTTGGAAATGGTTTTATACATTGTTTTGACTTATGACAAGTATCGCACACCTCAATTGATTTCTGTGAACAAGAATTCCTAAAAAAAACTAATCTGTTTTAAACAGGAGTATGAGATGTGACCAATTCTCCTGTGCCAAAGCTGCAAGTTATCACCATCCTTTTCTTCTTAATTCACAAGATTAACCTTGCATTTCATTCCTCCTATAACATATAGGCCTCCACGTGTATTTCCAACAGCAACCACTTTATTTTGTTCAATGTACTGCAACCAACAACCTTTCTTAGCAAATGTGCACACCATGCTTTCATCCTCAATTAATGGACCCACTGAAAAAAGATTATAGCTGAATTCTGGCACTATTAGCACATTCCTGAGATCTACATAATTGTTTAGTTGTACTTCTCCAATCTTTGTAACCTTAATCTTAGTTTCATTTGGCCAGTTGACTTTGATGGGATTAGTTGCATTAACAAACCTCAAAACCAAACTATCATTGCATCAAATATGTTTACTAATTACTAGCACCTGAATCCACAATCCAACTAGAGTCATCAAAATTTCCCAGAAGCCAAAATGACTCGCAGTACCTAAAATCTCTGCAAAATGTGAGTAAGAAGTTGGTTGTCCTATTTGTTGCCTTGATATATACTTAGCAATTTTTCTGTATGAGTGAACTAATATCATGTAAACCTTCAACACTTTTCTGTTTGACAGAATCATCCCCCTTTGGTCCTTCAAATTCTGCAACAGTCTCTGTCATGTTAGCCATTTGATTTGCTCTTTTTCCCTTTAGTTCCTTGTACCACTCAGTGTTGGTGTATTAACGAAAGCTTGGCTTTAGATGTTATTAATTTACGCCACTCCTATTTGAATGAGAGTCATATTTAATTTAACAGTCTACGATCTGATGTTTTACATGTAGATATTGCGATCCATGACGGATGAGACAGAAGATCATATATCGGTTACTTATAAAACATGAATGTTTGGTTCACAATCTACATGGAAATGAACAACCCATCGTGAATGGTTGTAGTTAACAGTACGGTTTGTCTTGACATAATAGTTACCCTAGTGCATTGTGTGCATCCCAGAGAGGGGGGGTTCGTTTTTTATTGATCGTCGTAAACGAACTAGGTCTCGATTAATTACTGCTTACTCTTAACCCGTAATATATAAAAAGACACGTGCATACAGCGGATGCTACTTTGGTTCACCAAAAGCGAGATCCATCTGTTGGGTCAATAGTTCTTCGTGTTTTGGGTAATTGTGTTGTGTGTATGGTGTTGTTCAAATATTTACAGTCACCGCTTGTGATATTTTGTTGATGTCCTGAAGATGAGCTCATGAATGATTATTACGTTAAAATATCTGGCCAGTGAAATTTTTTTCGACATAATAATAAAGATTTAAGTAGTACCAGTCTCGGTTCAAGAGGTCATTTAATTTGATTGTCAGTAATTAAATTAACTGATGAACATTATATCTTAAACACGGCAAGATAAATCGGATAATTATTATTGGTGCCTGGAATACATTTCAGGGATGATTAGGGAATGAAATAATATTTTGTTAGTGGACCAAAACATTATTTAAGTCATTGAGCGGAGTGGGCTTGACCCACAGTTATAAGGCCCATGACTTAAGAAGCCCACATAATTCAAATAGAAGAAAATTGATCCATCACTCCACCCGTTCGTTAGGATGCTCGACCAAAAGGGGAGGAGACGAAATCACCTCCTAAGGGATGAATATTGATCCATCACCCTGTTGTGGCTTATAAATAAATCACATCTTTTGGGATTAGGGATGATAAGATTAAGAGAGAGACAAACATATTCACGCGTGATAGCCGCCCTATGTGATTCTCTTCTTCTTTAGGAATCCCAGTAGAGATAGATATCTTTAAGATTGTTGCCCACCAAGATGAACAGAGAAGATGCTGGGTCGTACAACAACAGATCCGAGGTATATCTAGGAGAAGGTAAATATATATATTCGGCCACGTAAGAACAATATATTAAAAGTAACCACAGTAAAATTCTCCAAGATCACAGTATAGATTTGAGCATTTTGAAATACTATTCGAATTACCTATTTCTAGGTTCTCCAACTCTATTGTGTACCAGAACAATATATAAAAAGTAACCACAGCAAAATTCTTTTCCGGCTGATTTCCAACTTCCAAATTCCGATTGCCCGACGGCCAAAATCAAGAATTGTGCCAAAAGCGATGCATCTTTCCTCATTAATGGCAAATGTTGACTTTACATTGGCACTATAAATCGATTTGGCCACACAACTAAGCCCACATTCAATCAATTCAGTCCATGCCTAAGTAATTAAGGACTACTCCAAAAACGACATTAACAAGTTCACTAGGCTGTACAAAAGCCACCTAGCTACTGCAGCTGTCAATGCCAAACAATATCACACTCGTTTTCATGTGATGGACCATACTAAGTTATTACATAGCTCTAATATTTCAAGTTATGTTACATATGGCACAAGTTTATAGTTTAGGTGTCTACCAAATAGTTACACTCACTCAATATAGTTTATGTGTCTACCAAAGACTTAAGGCCTTCATTTAATCACCTCAGCTGTCATCTATCCCATCTGCCTTATTAATTCGCCTCCACCTTCTCACTCTTTAAAACGCTGCAGCAAACTTCACTAAACAGCACACTTAAACCCCTTGCAAGTCCTAATACCCACCCACAACCATGGCTCGCCCGTCGCCCACCGACTTCTCTCAGTCGGTTAAGCTCAAATACGTAAAGCTCGGCTATCAATACCTTGTCAACCACTTCATGTCCCTCCTCCTAATCCCACTCATTTCTGCCCTCGCCATAGAAACCCTCCGCACGGGTCCTGAGGAATTCATCAACCTCTACAACAAACTCCAACTCAATCCCTTCCACCTCATTTTCTCCATCTTCTTCTTCATATACATTTCAACATACTTCTTCATGTCGCGTCCGAGGCCGGTCTACTTGGTGGACTACGCACTGTTCAAGCCGCCCACGAGCTTCCGCGTCTCGTTCGCGGGCTTCGTGGAGCACTCACGCATGGACCTCTCCAGCGAGCCCAAGAGCATCAATTTTCAACTCAAAATCCTCGAGCGCTCGGGCCTCGGCGAAGAGACCTGTCTCCCCCCCGCCCTTCGCTACATCCCGCCCTCCCCAGACATGGCCTCGGCACGAGAAGAGGCCGAGCTCGTAATATTCTCCTGCATGGATTCCCTCTTCCAGAAAACCGGGCTCAAGCCCAAGGACATCGACGTCCTCATTCTCAACTGCAGTCTGTTCTCTCCGACCCCGTCGCTCACCGCCATGGTGATCAACAAGTACCGAATGAGGAGCAACATCAAGAGCTTCAATCTATCGGGAATGGGCTGCAGTGCCGGACTCATTTCGGTCGATCTGGCCAAGGATCTTCTTCAGCACTACCCGAACTCGAACGCGGTCGTGATCAGCACCGAGATTCTGACCCCCAACAGATACATGGGGAAGGAGCGCGCGATGCTCCTTCCCAACTGCCTCTTCCGCATGGGCGGCGCCGCCTTGCTGATGTCGAACCGGCGCGCTGACCGGAAACGGGCCAAGTACCGGCTGGCCCACGTAGTCCGTACCCATAAAGGCTCGGACGACAAGTCGTACAATTGCGTTTCTCAGGAAGAGGACGACGAGGGATTTGTTGGAATCAAACTGAACATCGACCTCATGGCGATTGCTGGGGAAGCTCTGAAATCGAACATCACGACGATAGGGCCGTTAGTGCTGCCGGCGTCCGAGCAGTTGCTGTTCGCGCTGTCGGTCGTCGGGCGTTTCGTCGTGAGTTCAAAGTGGAAGAGTTATGTTCCGGATTTCAAGCAGGCGTTTGAGCACTTCTGCATACATGCGGGGGGGCGGGCGGTGATAGACGAGCTGCAGAGGAGTTTGAGGCTGACGGAGGAGGACGTGGAGGCGTCGAGGATGACGCTGCATAGGTTTGGGAATACGTCGTCGTCTTCGCTGTGGTATGAGTTGAGTTATATTGAGTCCAAGGGGAGGATGAGGAGAGGGGATCGAGTGTGGCAGATAGCGTTTGGGAGTGGGTTTAAGTGTAATAGTGCGGTTTGGAAGTGTAACAGAACTATACCGACGCCCGTTGATGGGCCGTGGGCCGATTGCATTGATAAGTACCCGGTTCACATACCCGAAGTGGTTAAGCTCTGAAGAGGACATATATGTTATATACTTAATAATTGAATTCATTATATATATATTTTTTTCTTTAAGAGGGGTGGGGGAATAATTTAGTATACGAGGTATTGTGGAGTCAAAGGATTGGTCAAATAGTTGTTTTCCGAAGGTGGACGTTTCAGATTATATATGTGGTAGGTTTCGAATTTGATTGTACTATTTGTTGCTGTGTCAACTGTAAACAGTTTGATTTATGAATAGTTCGAGTACTGAACGTCGTGTTTCACCTTACTGCGTGAGCACGTGCTGTTTGGGTTATTTTGTTTAGTTGTGTTTTATTTTGTTTTCTCCTATTGGGAGTATGTTTGGTGTATTCTTTTTTTTGGAGTTTTTGTTTCTTCTCTTTTTGGGAGCTTTAAATTGTGTTTGGTGTTGTAGGTTGACTCTAGGCTACCGTATGTCTATGTGTAGTCCTCTCTATTAGGGTCAGCTATTCAGCTTATTCGACTGTTGGCTGTATATTCGGCTGAGTAGCTATTTTCTGGTCTCGTGTTGGATGTTAAGTTGGGAAATCTCGAGTGTATTAAAATTGTTACTTTTAGTTGAATTTGTTAGTCTAAGAAAATTTAGAAGTTAATTACGTACTTATCAAGTTGTAAAAGTTGACACTTTGCTGAAAGTTCGATCCTTTAGGTTTAAATAATATTTTATATTACCTATTATTTTAGAATTGCTTGTTAGACTACAAGTTTTCTTTCCATAATTCTTCTTTATATCTTTTGGTAGGGACTTGGTTTTTGTGGACTTCCTTTATACAGTTATACTGGTTAATTTTTAAGTTAAATTTCTTACTTAATCTATCTTAAAACATAACCCACTTATGCGTTTATTATTTTTAAAATTTATTTTCTCTTTTTGTGTTTTACAACTTGTTCTTGAAGCAAATCTCCGAAGAGCCCTCCCTTGAGAGATTACCCGAGGTTTGTCTTTACGATCTTATTCGGTTAACTACAATTTCTATACTTTATAAAAAAAAAAAATGGCGCCGTTGTCGGGAGGGAAAATAGGATGCCAAGTTTCATTAACTAGTTGTCTATAGTTTACGCATTTCTCTGGTTATTATGAAATGTAATTAATCTCAGTTTTTCTCTTGTTTTCTCTTGCATTAGTAGTTTAGAAGTTATTTCTTGTTATTTGAGGTTTAATTGCCTTCCATTGGTGCTTGCACGGGTATAGATTATGGCGTTGTTTGTATGTAGCCGACACCGTCGAGGAGGACCTCCAGAGATGCCGACTGAAGAAGTCGAGCCTGAACAAATCGACATAGAGGATCAAGAAGGACCAACCCTGCCCCCGAACATGAGGTGTCACATGAGTTATCATTGGCGACAACACTTCGTGCCTCATGCTCACGGAGGCGGCCCGTAATTACGACTTTAAGACAATCAACCTAAACCAATTGTCAAAATTCTATGGTTTTCCTTAAAGATCGGGTGAAGACGTGGTACATGACATTATTATCGAACTCCCTCATTAATTGGGAGTCCTTCTATAAGAAATTCATGGGAAAATATTGTTCCCATCAAAAGACGATGGACTTCCGAGTTCAAATGGCCAATTTCGGCCAAGCGTTGCGGGAAACCTTACACGAGGCTTGGGAGAAGTTCAAGGGACTCCAACTCTAATGTTCATACTACCTCTTTTGTCTCAGCATATCAAATTAATTTTCTATGATGGTTCTCATCAAACGTGCAATATATCGTTGAAGTAATCTAGTCCTATGGATTTACTCGGATGTCGGATGAGCAATGAGTGTACAAGAGGATGATAGAAACATGGTGGTATTTCTTATACTACGTTGACGAAATACTTCTCACTACAAATAGTGTAAAAGTATTGTCGAACGTAATGGTATGATTATCCAAGAATTTTGATATGAAGGACTTACGAGAAGCATCGCATATTCTTGCAATCAAAGTCATAAGGGATCGTAAGAAAATGATGCTCTGATTATCACAAACTTCATACATAAATATTGTTCTATCCCGTTTTAGCACTGGGAACTCCAAGAAATGGTTCATACCTTTTCGGCATAGAGTTCCTGCATCAAAGGATATGTTTCCAAGACACAACAAGAGATAGAGCACATGAAGGTGGTTCCTTACGCATCTGTTGTACGAAACCTCATGTATACAATGCTTTATACAAGGTCGATATACGTTTTGTCGTAGCCATGGTTGCATATATCAGAGTAACCCGACACAGGCACATTGGTCCGCGGTGAAGCATATAATCAAGTACATGCCAAGGATTAAGGATTATATATTAGTATATCGGGCAGACGTCTTGGAGCCTTTGGGTTATACGGATTCTGATTTCCAATAAGACAAAGACGAAAGTAAAACTACCTCAAGTTATATGTTTACCTTATGAGGTAGACCCATAGTTTGGTGGAATGTAACATAAAAAAGCATGGCAGACTCCACCGTGGAAGTTGTTGTACCCAAAACACGCTAATCTAGATTGAGCCTACTAAACAGTGATGATGTGGATGGTAGGCGATATCCCAAAAACCCATAGTACGACGTCAGCATAAGGGCATGAGTATACATCAGCTCAGGCAAAGCCGCCAACCTCCAAGACGATCTCCCACTTTGCATCCATCTCACTCCAGGCCATATGTGCGTCAAACCAATGTCACCCTAATGCATAAAGATTATTTTCTCGCATCAGGCACAAGCGAGCTGAGCTTCCTTCATGTTGATCTCAACTAAATATTTGTGTGAAAAGGGTTGACGTCTAGAACCAGTTCGCACCGTCAAAAGTGATACGCCACTTGATTAGTTGTGGGGACACGCATCGCTCCTTTTCATTAGATACTTCCTTCTGGAACTATATTGCCAATTGTTGGAATTAGATGTTGTTGGCCATTTTTTCTTATATTGAAATAGCAGAACAAATACATTGGTCGGTCCACATTTGATAAATGATCTAATAAAATCTCACATTTTCATAATTTGAATTTCAAATACAAAGTTAGTCACCAATTTTTGAAAATTTTCTAAAAACATTACAAATAATAGTAAAATCGATTTTTTAGACAGAAATTTACATGCTACTTCAAGTAAATCACTCTCTCTTTTATATATTAATAGATATAATTTTTCTTTGGCATGTACAAAACCCACACGGCAGCATAAATACTTAAACAATAATGGTGAATTATATAGGTTAAATATTATTCGCATAAATACTTAAGCAATAATGATGAATTATTTAGGTTGATTATTAAAGTTGGATTTCCACCTTTTCTTGGTGGAAAGCTAGAGTTGGATATATAGGTTAGGTAAAACATGTGATTTTCTTTCTATGAAGAAAATGGATAATTTGTAATAGATTTATAAATTAGAAATTAGTACATTATTAAAATATTTATACAGTGAGAATAATATTTTGTAAATACATATTGAAAAAAAAAAAAATACTCATTAACTAAGCTTTTAAATGGATATTTCAAAAATACTCTTACAAATCATAAATATGAAGTGAATCAACTTCCAAGCTAATCTGCATCAACTTCCAAGCTAGTCCATATCTTCTACATGTTGTTTATATGATCCCAATAATATAATTAGTTACAAGAACCAAAAGGGGCCTATAAATGTCCATGCTCAAATTGTTCCTGCTCGAAGAAAAACAGAGAGAAATAAGGTAAAGTTAGGATGCCTGAGTACTGTGTAACCGGAGGAACTGGATTTATCGCATCTTACCTTATAAAGTCGTTGCTGGAAAAAGGTCACGCTGTTAGAACCACGGTTAGAAATCCAGGTACATGTATCAAATTTGAACTCCTAATTCAATCATTTAATACTTATTCTTCAATGT